GGCCCACTCCGCGAGGGCCCCAACGTGGCCTCATAGGACATAGGACCTCGCAGGAGGGAGTGGCGCGATGGAGAACAGGAGGAGCGCGACGGAGGACCATGGCTGCAGAAAGGGGGGGTAGACCGCCCAGAGCAGGAGGGCGCGAAGGGAAGGCAAGAAGGCGACGAAGGAAGGAAGGAGGAGGAGACAACGGAAGACAGGAAGAGGAATGGAGGAGGGACCACCGATGAGGATTGAGAAAGGACAAAAAAAACGAAGACAAGGGCAGGGGGGAGGGATAAGGGATTGGGCCTGCGCAGGCCTGGGGGACATGCCAGCGACGCGAAGAAGAAGAAGGAACTGTTGGCGACAACGAATACGATAGTGATGGTGGAGGCTACTGATAACGCACTTGAGTGGATGCTTTTGGCTCGACGTGGACCTCCGCAACATTGGGATACAACGCCACTGGGCCGCCGCATGTTCATCGCGGGAAACGGCGGCGTCGGCGCCAGGGCCGGCGCGCGCGACGCGCACTGGAGAAACTTCGATAAATGCGAAGGACTAAGCGCGCGAATGGTCCCAAAGCGGACGCAATCGTAACGATTCGGAGCCATTAGCTACAACGCCATCGCTGGCAGCGCCAGCCCGACGCAGACGCGCGCGACCTGCCGCGCCATAGCCGCGCTGACCAGGCATTCCAAAAAGCCGGCCGCAAGGAAAAGAACAGCCACGCGCAAAGATGTGCGAGAGCACAGGTGGGGTCAGCTGGATTTCGGCTCCGCTTTTATTCGAATTACACTTGGGGGGGGGTCAGTTTTCGTCTGGGCCCCCTCGCCAGCGAGTTTCTGGCGCCTGGATTCGCCGCGCAGATCGTCTGAGACATCGGGGGCCATGGCCCTGTAAGTGGTCGTCTCAAGTGCGCGCAGCGGCTTTTGGGCCAGCGGTCGCCTGGGCGATCGCGGGCCCCTTGGCCCGCCGCCGAAGAACAGCGCGCGCCGCGTGCCGGAACTGCGCGAGGGTCGCGCAGGCCAGCGCCCCCCGAAGACTTCGGCAGCCTGTTCGGTGACCTGCCTGTCTGAAGGGGCACCGAGCATCAGGGCCAGGCTGCTCGAAGCACTCATCGCGGCCCACGACGTCTACTAAATCCTCGGCCACGGCGCGGCGCGCCGCGAAGTTGGCGCGCGCGCGAGTTCAATTTGCACTTGCCGAACACTTGCTCCACTTGTGAAGCGCATTCATCCATGCTGGCCCCCGCCCCGCGCGCGTCGACGACGTCGACGCGCTCGGCGGGAAGCAAGTCCTTGGCGGCCCCGCGTTCCCGGCCATGCGACATGGAATCGAGGCGTCCTTTCTGCGGCCCTTTTCCTTTTGATGGCGAAAGCGCGCGGCGCGCCCTTGTCGCCGGCACCTCGCTCGAGACGCAGAAGGACCCATCGCGTTCTCGCGTTCTAGCAGCCAGCGGAGCGCCGAAGCACTGACAGCCCCGAGCCAGCGCGCAAAGTACGCGGAGCGTTCTTGCTCTCCAGAGGCTTCGGCCATTTCTCCATAGATCAGCCCCTTCGAGAAAAACGCGATGGACCGGCAGAGGCCCGGCATGGCGCGCAGCCTCGCCGGCGAAAAGCCGTTGGGGCGCACGTCGGGCACTGGCAAATCTCCAGAACGAGCGCCCCCTGGTCCATGAAGCCGCGCGCTACTAGAGGCAACGGAAGGATATTTTCCACGTTCGAAGACTCCTTCTCCATTGCGCAACATCCCGGGCAGTTGGCAACACTTCCTGCGCGAAGCGCTCCTTGCCGAACCAACTTTCGAGTTCGGCCAGCAATGCCGCGGATGCCTGCTCGGCTCGGTTAGCAGGTCCCCCCCATTGGCCGCGACGGCTCGTTTGACCGCGGCAGCAACCTGATAGGGTGCGTTGTTTCAAGCTGGGGCTCATCCAGAACTACCTTAGCCGCGTCGTAAGTGAAGCATAATTCAGCAAAGCTCCCCAGTTTATCTGAGTCCATACCGTCGTCGGTGTAGCAATCGGCGTTGGCGGCGTCGCTGGCCATCTTTGAAGCATCAGAGCGTGGGCACGGAAACACGACATCGCGATGCTCATGGTCGCGGCGATCGATGGCGTCCCAATTGAACACGTCGTGTTCGCGCTCGCAAGACATGAGCACCATGTTGGCAGGCATCGCGGGTGCAAGGGCGGCGCGCAGATCTTTCAACTTCCATGATTCTTCGCATAGGTACTCGGCGTGCATGAGCTCGTTGTACTAGTCGTGTAAGAATAGAGCACCTTCTTGATATGCAGATTCCCCTTCCTCAATCGAGAATACGCGTCCGTCCCCCCGTTGTGATTCCAGCGTTTCGGAATTCGCCGCATTGCTGCGACCACCACCATGGGACGCATCAGACAATTCAGGACACCGCGGGCTGTCCTCGTCGAGCGAGTGATCAGGTCCCGCGAATATGGGGCATCTGATAAACGTGCGTATTGGCTGCCCGTGACATCCCTGGTGTTGAGGTTGGTGTTCTGCGCTGCGTGGGAGCGAAAACCGGGCTGGACATCGTTGCCATAATATATCAGTGTACTGCGATCAGCTCCCACAGACTTTGTGAACTCGTGGCCAGCCGCACGGCAATCACATACCCGATGCGGAAATCTTGTTTGTTTCAATGCCGCATGAACCTTGAAGACCAAATTGTTGCCAGTGGATGGCCTGAATACATTTTTGCAATCGGAAATGTACCCACCTGTGGCAAAAACCTTCTCTGGGGGGAGGTCCACGTTCCCCGTTCACCACTGAAACGGTGCATGGGCCGCTCCAACACCAATGATCGCCAGTAGTTGTGGTCAGCATATGGCAACCGATCAAGTCACCCACTCGATACATATGGCCGCTGTCAGCCTTGGCCTTCGTCTTCAGAGTTTGATTAACATTGGCCACTGCTGTGGCTTGCGTGATGGCTACATTAGCTGCTTCACATGTGCGTCGTTTTGCTTCTTGGCTTGACTTTCAGGTTCTTCAAGATCAGGCCTTCGAAATCTGGAAGCATGGCGGGTTGTCGGCCGCTGTAGCCGTCGTAGGGCGATAAGCCGTCGTAAAAGGTGAAGGCACTGCTTGCAAGTAAACATGGTTTCAGCCAGACATTAATGACATCCTAAAAGGATGTCGTGTCTTTGCAAATCCGCTTGCATGGTGCCTGACACCGCGAAACATGCCGTCACGAGCCTCCATGGTGTTGGCGTGTTGTCCAGGGGCACGTATCCTGAGTTCGGTATCTAATGACTTCAGTTGGTTCTTGGCTTCGTCGTCGTTGAGGCCACCATCTCCATAACAGTGCAATACCTGAGCTGCATGATTATATCGTTCCCCGCAGGGGCATCCAGGTGTGATTCCTTGGACTTGTTCGGTATCTGGGAACCGCTGGCGTATCTGATGCAACGATCGACGCGGCTGGGTTTCACTGAGGTTACCACAGAGAAGCTGAGCAAAACTGAGTGTGAGGGAGTCCCCGTCTGAGTGTGAGGATAGCCGAATGTGACTGATAGAAATCGAACGCATTTGAATGTGGAGAGCTGGCGCTTGCCGACGCCAAGCGTGGCCACAGTGTATGTTCTGACGCCTTTCAGCCCTACTGCAGCCCTTGTTGGGCCTCTGGAGATCACGATCTCAGAAATCAGGATCAGGGGTGACAGTAAAACTTACCTACAGTCGGGGCGTTGACCTAAGGAACCCTAAAGAAGGAATGAGGCCCCTTTTTCCCATAAGTTAAACTTCGATTTCCCATCGGAACCCTAAGCAAAACCAAAGGCGAACTGCAAACCAACTAAGGAACACCGAGCCCCTCCCCAACGAAAAAGGTTCCTTCCTCAGCGCCCCGACTGTATTCCTTCTTCTCCACCCTTCCGTCTCCCCTCCTCCTCGTCGCCACGGACGGCAAAATGCAGCCGTGCGCGCCAGAAATCAGTTTAGTGCAGAAGATCGTGGCCGTCCGGACCGAAAGAATAGCTGGTGCGGCGACAATCGGGAGCGGCCAAGAGGGGGGGTGCAAATCATGACCGGCGGCATGTGCGCGGCCCAGCGGGGGGGTCAGGGACGTAATGAAATAAGAAGAGGCGCCGTGAAATCTGGGGAGATATCATGGCCCACGCCATGAGACCCCCCCCCCTAGTCATCGGCCCCCTCTCTTCCGCCCCCGAAGATTGTGAAGAGGTCTCAACGGAAACGGCTGCGGGACCGGGCGGTCTGGGTCTTACCGTCCCCCCTTGTGGGACTCTTGTGTGTTCTCCACTATGAGAGCCCCATGGCGACACGCTGTTGGCGGAATACGACCAGTGTTAGGTCGGGCATGTCCCCGTACAGGCGGATTTTTGGCGAAAAAATAAAAATAGCCAAAAAGAGTATTTCAAAGTTGGCAAAGATAGTCAAAACATCGTCCCCTGACTATTTTTTCTATTTGTGGATATTCCTCCTGTACAGAGACAGGCCCGACTTCAAAACAACTGCCCCCGGGATGGAACAACTGCCCCCGGGACGGAGGCCGAAACGTCCGGCAGCCCACGCCCCGAGAGAGAGAGGCAGTGCTGGGAATCTACAGTCGGGGCGTTGACATAAGGAACGATAAATAAGGAACGAGGCCTCTTTTTCCCATAAGTTAAACTCAGATGTTCCATGGAAAACCTGGGGAAAACCCAAAGAGCGCTGTAAAACAACTAAGGAACACGAAGCCCCTCCCAAACGAAAAGGGTTTCTTCTTCAGCGGCCCGACTGTATGGAGCGCAGGAGCACCTTTTCTCATTGCCCGCCGTGTGCGAGGCAAGAGGTCGAGGCATCCGAAAAGGAAACACGGCATAGGCATAAACTTTCGCCAGTCCGCGCGGATGTCTTGGATCCGCGCTGGACCCCCCCTCCCTGGCGGAGGGCGGAAGGGGTGGCGCTGGAGGCGCCCCCAGGGGGGCCCAGCGCAGATCCAAGAAATCCGCGCGGACCTCCGAAAGTGTATGGTTGTGTCGTTTCCCCTTCTTCGAATGCAGCAGCTAATTCAACGGGAAGGCCGAGCGCCCAGAGAGCACTCCAGGCCTCGCGAGCGGGCTCCGCAGCAGCTGGGGTCGCAGGATCGCGCCGCAGCGCCGACGCAGCGCGGCCTGGAGCCCGATCTCCTCCACCCCGACGGCGCCGAGGCATCGCCGTTGCCTCGGCGCTGCGGTGTCATCCTCCGACCTCGCCTGCTCTGGGCTCAGGTCGGGCATGTCCTCCTACAGGCGGATTTGCGAAGAAAAATTAAACATCGCCAAAACATCAACAATTGTCAAACCAAAAACACACACAAAAAAATCGCTATCCATGAAGCTTGAAAAATAAGGCGGAACTTTCCGCTTACGAGGTCGCCCGGAAAGCACGGCGGATCCAGGGCCAGGGCTGGATCAGAATTGACCCTGACTTCGCTTTTCGGGTCATGACTCGGGATCTCCTGCGGCGGCTCGGAACGACCTGGGCACCCCCGGATCGCTCCAGGCGAGGCGCAGCTGCCGGAGCGCAGCCCGAGGCGGGGAAGCATCCGGGCGTCGACGAGAGAGCGCGAAAACCTGGGAGTCGGGGCATTGGGGACCTCCTCCTCCTCCTCCATCTTCGACCTCCTCCTCCTCCTCCTCCTCCTCCCTCCTCCCTCCACCCTCCTCCATCCTCCATCCTCCATCCTGCATCCTGCATCCTTCATCCTCCAGCCTCCATCCTCCATCCTCGATCCTCGATCCTCGATCCTCGATCCTCGATCCTCCTCCTCCTCCTCCTCCTCCTCCTCCTCCTCCTCCTCCTCCAGCTCGGGCTTGGGCACGTGCCCGGGCTCGGTCGTCCATTCCGTTGCAGCGCCCCGCCGCTCAGAATGGGCACGCTCCGCCGGCAGCCCAGGCGCGCGCACCCCAGGCGCACAGGGCGGCCGCGCCCAGCGAGAGGCCCAGGGCCAGGGCGAAGAGCACCACCGCGCAGGCGCTGCGCGCGAACATGGCCGCGGGCCAGTCCTGCTGGGACTGTTTTCCACCACCACCACCTTCAGTTGGAGGAAGAGGGGGTCCTCCTCCACCTCCTCCTCCACCACCTCCTCTTGCTCCTCCTCCTCCCTTCCTCCTCCTCCTCGTCCTCCTCCTCCTCCTCCTCCTCCTCGTCCTACTTCTTCCCCCCTCCAACTTGTGGTGGTGGTGGAAAACGCGCCCACCAAGTCCTGCACGAACTGCACGCGCCCGTCCCAGTAGTTCCTCGTGGGCAACAAAACATATCCGTATCCGCGGCCTCGCGGGCCAGACCCCTGGGCCGCCACCCCGCGGATACGGGGCGAGCGTTCGCGAGCGCCCGGCGCGGAACGTGTCCGTGCGACCGCGTGCCCGCAGGATCGTGCCCCGGAGCCCAGACCGCGAGGGCGTGGAGATGCGGATGCGTTCGCCGCTCGTGGGCTCCAGAGCTTGTGGATCTCCGAGCCGGTGCGCAGGCAGATGGCAGAGGAAGAGGAAAGCTGCACAGACGTCCACTCCGAGAGCTCCATGCGGACGTCTTGGGGGCCCCCCTCCCCTGCGCGCCAGGGGGCGAAGCGCCGGAGGCGCAGCCAGGGGGCCCCAGCGCCGACCCGAGAACTCCGCGCGGAGCTCCGAAGGTTTCGGGTCGGGCGAAAGGGGGGGATAGCAAAGGGGGGGTTTGAGAATCAGCTCACGTAGCTGATTTTCCCGGCGCCTCCCGGCGCCGGGAGGCGCCCATGTATCGAGGAATGGGCCCCTCGGTGAGGCCGAAACCAGCTGCATGCAACAAATTTCGTATACCCCCCTTTCCCAATCCCCCCCTTTCGTCCGGCCCGAAAGTTGACGCCGGTGAAGTTTTTCGTCCTCGAGATGGGGACGCAGAGCAGGAGAAGACCTGGAAGAGACAGCAGCCAGCACGAGGACCACCTCGCCGCCAGGAGCGATATCGCCTGAGGGACAAAAAAGGGGAGGAGGAGGAGGAGGAGGAGGAGCAGGAGGAGGAGGAGGAGGAGGAGGACCACGGCCAAGACTGAACGCAGAAATGTCGTGTCGATCTTGGTCACCGTGCATCTTGGCCCACGTCAATTCTTGCATCATCCTCACGAATCGGCGACAGCCAACATGGACCATGATCAAGGTCGGCGTCGACAAAATCCTGCGACATGAATCTTGGTCACGGTTGCTGTCATTAGGCCAGCGCGTTCCGCTCCTCGCAAAGCCACTACTCGCAAATGGCTGGATCAGCCGCGACGGATTGACGATCAATTACATTGAGGCGAACGTGTGATTTTTAGACGTTTGCGAGTAGGCACTTTGCGAGTAGTGGAACGCGCTCGGTGAGTCATGGGTCTTCAATCAAGAGGCAGAGACTGAGAGAGGGAGAGACCCTGAGATCCAACGATGTCGAAACAAATGCAGCATCGCAAGAAAATCACGGCCGGAGCACCAGACCCCACCGTCCCGCGCCATTCACTCGAGCCGGACCAGTCTGTGACGGTCCTGCCACCGTCCTGCGCCCTTCACTGGAGCCAGATCAATCTGTGATGGTCCTGGGGCCCGTGGATGGGCGAGACGCCCAGTGCGACAGAGAATGCAACGCCCCTGGCCATGGCCAGCGCGCTTCTGCCCTCGGATCGCCAGCGGGGCCAGCAGGGCGGCCACGGCCGTGGCGCGCGGGCGCAGCAGGCCCGAGGCTGGGGGCTCGGTGAGCAGCACGCACTCCTTGGTGTGCCGCCAGGACCTCCCCTCCTCGCGGGCGCACGCCGACATGGACTGCAGTTTTTAATACATGGTGTTTTTAGAAACATCTGATGTTTAATACATGACTGATTTAATAATAAATCTATGCATGAACTCATCGCTGTTTTTATGAATCAATCCTTTATTTCTAATACATGGTCCGCACGCGGAGCATGTATTAAGAGCGGCATTGTAGGGATCCGTGGCTCCGGCGCGTGGGCGCAAGATCCGCGGATCGGGGAGGGCACCCCCGACTCCCGAGGCCAGCGCCCGCCTCACCCGGCGACGGCGCGCGCCGCTCTCGCATGGCGACGGGACCCGTCGCCAATCCGCGCGCCCCTTGTCCGCGCCGGCGGTCCCTCGATCCTCGCGGTCGTACGGCGTGACCGTGACGTGGACGTCCTCCCCCCGCGCCTTGCCGATGTCGAAGAGCTCGCGGGCGTTGCCCACGTTGGCCCCCGGCATCGCCGCCGCCCCGCCTGGCGGTGCACGGTTCCCCCTGGGGGACCCGAGGAGGAGGAGGAGGAGGAGGAGGAGGAGGAGGAGGGAGGAGGAGGAGGAGGAGGAGGAGGAGGAGGAGGAGGAGGGAGGAGGAGGCAGAGGAGGAGGAGGAGGAGGAGGAGGGAGGAGGAGGAGGGGGAGGGGAGGAGGGAGGAGGGAGGAGGAGGAGGGAGGAGGGAGGCGGGAGGAGGGAGGAGGGAGGAGGGAGGAGGGAGGAGGGAGGAGGAGGAGGAGGAGGAGAGGAGGAGGAGGAGGAGGAGGAGGAGGAGGAGGAGGAGGAGAAACAGGAGGAGGAGGAGGAGGAAACCCTCCACCTGGCAGGGCCCGGCCGGCCCGCGAGCGGCGGCCCGCGAGCGCGGAGGGGCGCGGGGGCGCCCGCGCCGCGACCGCGCGCCGAGGGGCGGCTCGAGCCGAGAGGCCGCAGGCGGAGGCCGAGAGCGGGGCGGGGCTGCACGGGTTCCCCTGGGGCCGTAGTCGACCCGAGGAGGAGGAGGAGGAGGAGGAGGAGGAGGAGGAGGAGGAGGAGGAGGAGGAGGAGGGAGGGAGGAGGGAGGAGGGAGGAGGGAGGAGGGAGGGGAGGAGGGAGGAGGGAGGAGGGAGAGGAGGAGGAGGAGGGAGGGAGGAGGGAGGAGGGAGGAGGGAGGAGGGAGAGGAGGGAGGAGGGAGGAGGAGGAGGGAGGAGGGAGGAGGGAGGAGGGAGGAGGAGGGAGGAGGAGGAGGAGGAGGAGGAGGAGGAGGAGGAGGAGGAGGAGGAGGAGGAGGAGGAGGAGGAGGAGGAGGAGGAGGAGGAGGAGGAGGAGGGGGAGGAGGAGGAGGAGGAGGAGGAGGAGGAGGAAGAGGAGGAGGAGGAGGAGGAGGGAGGAGGAGGGGGAGGAGGACGGGTTCCCGAAGCCCTTCGGAGAAACCCTCCAGGCGGGGCAGAGCGCGGGAGGGGCGGCGGCGCGCGGAGTTCTCGGGTCGGCTGGGGCCCCCCTGGGGGCGCCTCCAGCGCTTCGCCCCCTGGCGCGCTCCGCGCGCAAGGGAAGGGGGGGGGCCAGCGGGGGCCCAAGACGTCCGCATGGAGCTCTCGGAGTGGACGTCTGTGGAGCTTTCCTTCTCCTCTGCCATCTGCCTGCGCACAGGCTCGGAGATCCACAAGCTCTGGAACCCACGAGCGGCGAACGCATCCGCATCTCCACGCCCTCGCGGTCTGGGCTCCGGGGCACGATCCTGCGGGCACGCGATCGCACGGACACGTTCTACGCCCCTGGGCAGGACCGGCCCGCGGCCATGCTCGCGCGCAGCGCCCGCGCGGTGGTGCTCTTCGTCCTGGCCCTGGGCCTCTCGCTGAGCGCGGCCGCCCCGCGCGCCTGGGGTGCGCGCTCCTGGGTCGCCAGCGGAGCGTGCCCCGATCAGGTGGGGCATGCTCGACTGGGGGACCCGTCGCAGCGTCCGCCGATCAGATCGGCGGGCGCTGCGACGGAATGGACGGCCGAGCCCGAGCACGTGCCCGAGCCCGAGCTGGAGGTCTCCCCGATGCCCCGACTCCCGTGTTTTCGCTCGTTCTCGTCGATCCGATGCCCAAAGGTTCCCCCGCCTCCGGATGTGCTCCGGCAGCTGCGGCTCGCCCAAGGCGATCCGGGGGTGCCGGGGTCGTTCCGAGCTGCGGAGATCTCCGCCCTACTTATTCGTATCGTCTGGGGTGCATCTCCGGCACAGTCTTCAAATTCGGACAATCAACCACAGCACAGCGGATCCCGAGTCGAGCAAGAAGAACAGAACGCCAGGGTACCCTGCGAGGCGGGGACTTATCCACATCCTCCGCCTGGGAACCGACGCCCTGCGGACCCAGCGGGCGGTGGATGTGGACATGCTTGGGCCCCCGGGGGCCGAAACATATCCAGATCCACCTCCCGCCGAGGTCCCCGAACATCGACCCTCCGGGCGGTGGCCATGCACAACTCCGCGCCGACCCTCCCCGCACCGACCTCGACTTCACACCGACTCGGAGCCCACCCCCGACTGTCACTGCAAGCGACACCGCTGGCGAGCGGCTTCGCTACCTGCTGGCGCCGCGCGCTCGGGCCGCGCCGTTCTGGCGGCAGCCGCCGCCTGCTGCCCTCTGCCCGCCCCGCCCCTCCCCGGGTGCTCTTTTTCCGGCGGGCGGCACGGCACCGAGCCAGCCAAGGGTCGTGGCGGGCCTCCGCGGGCGCGCAGGAGCGCGCGGCAGCTCACTCCTCCTCGTCGCCGCCCTCCTCGGCCTCCTCCGGCTTCTTCTGGGACTCGGCGGCCTCCAGGGTTCGGCCAGGGAGGGAAGGGGGGGGGGAGATGCGCAGGGTGCACATCTGTGCACCACCATGCCTTGCCTGGCGCGGCGGTGTAAAAGTGCACGCCCGCTGCGGAGGGAGAGGGAACAGGTGTGACAAGAAAGGGGCAGGGGGTGGAGGCCGAATTGTGTTGGGAGGTGGGGGTGGGGAGCGACGGAAGGAGAGCGGGGGGCGGGGCGTGAGAAGGCGCAGGAAGAACAGGAGACTTGAGGGGCCCACGAGCCCGGTTAAGAAATCCCACCAGCCCTCTCGGCGCAGGTGGTACAGAGCGCTTATTATTCCAACCTCCTTCCTTCTCCTGCTCGGGAGGTTTACCTCCCCCCTTCCCTGGGTCTGGAAGGGGGGGGCCGAGGGGTTAGAGCGTCCAATATGGCCAAAGATAACTCCAAGAAGGTTTTAGATAGCCCAAGATGGCCTCCAAGATGGCCCAAGATACTTCGAGATGGCTCAAGATAGCCTCCGACACGCATCCAAGAGGCCCCAAAACGGCCCCAAGACGGTTTCAAGTGCCCTCCGAGCCCTCCAAGGACCCCCCCAAAAGGTCAAAAAGGTTCTAGCCCTTAGGAATTCAATATGTTTGTTGACTTGTTCGCTTTTTCGCTTCCGATGGGCTCTTGAAGCGTCAGGATGGCCCCGTAGCCCCAAGAGAGGCCCAAGAGGGCCCCAAGACGGCCCCAAGAGTTTGAAGGGGGCTGGGAGGCCCCGCCAACAGCTTCGCCTCAGGCGAAGCCAAGCTCCAGCTCGGTTGTATCGTAGTAACCATAGTCCCAATGCAAGAGGGGGTGCCATGTCAAGTAAAAGGGGGTGCCTTTTAGTATCAATAGCGATAGTGTGCCTCGCGGTGAGACACAGTCAAATCTGGGCGGCCGGCCGCTTTGAGCCAAAGCGGCCGCGGGCGCACGCTCGTTTCCACTCCTTACGTCCCCCAGCTCGCTTTAGACTCGGGGGGGAGGGAGACGAAGCGTGCGTCCACCACCCGCAATTCAGAAACAGTTCAGCAACTAATCTATATAAAGACAGGAAAAGAAACAGGCCCAAAGGAGTTGGACCTGCCAGCAAATTGCCTCGCACATATATATATATATATATGTATATTTAATGTGCTCCTCAGGCGGCCTCAGAACTTCTTGTCTGACCGGCCCATAGAGTGCATCTTGTTAGGTCATGTTTGAAGGTCTGTACACCTCCCATGAATTGTAGGAGCATCTCTCTGTCGATGCTCCCCTTGGTGTGTCCATCCGCAGTCATGTCGCGGGTATCACACCACTGAATGCTATGCACGATTCCGCGTTCCATCATCTGTCGTATCCAACTTATGTGTCCTAGAAGGGTACACTCAGTTGGCTTCTTCAAGTCTTTGCTTGACATGGACTGCCGCCCAACTCAAGTATGTCTTTCAACTGAGTGGGCGTGAGTGGCCCCGCGTGGAGCTCGTGCTGAGTCACAATCGTGGGATAACAGTCCTCCAAAGTATGGGCTGCTGCAAGTGTCTGCGCTGAGTAGCTTGAGCGGACTTGCAAGCTGTGAGACTTGCAGTACGCATCAATCAAGTGAACGACAGGCTTGCCAGATGACGTGTTTCCACGTCGTAGCAGGCTTGCCCCGCGAATGCCATAGCCTTCGACGTCGTCGTCGGCGTCTCCACTCAGGCGTCGATAGCCTGAGTCGCTATGTAAGTCGATCTCACCCGTGGGGTTCATCGCCTGGTAGACGACCTTCTTCGGGCAGGCCTGTAGCTTCTGGTGATCGCGTTCAGTCGTCGCACTTGAATATTGGTCGGTTCGTGGACACGCTGTAGAGATACAACATATACCATCAACCATGTCTGGGTGATCAGTGCGCATGCCAGCGCACCTCTGAGACGTACGAACATATCTGCCACCATCTTGGTCGCGTGAACGTCAGCGTCAGCACCGGTCAATTCAGGGTGTTGTATAGGACGGACCTGTTTAATATATATATATATATATATATATATATATATATTCATCTTGATCCACAGTGGCATTGCCGTCCTCGTCCTTGGTCTATACCGCGTCACAATTCGTGCATGTGTGCTTGTGAAGCCTACGCTGACCAAAGGTATCCTCAACGCATTTGACATACTTGTCAATGGTGTCCTCAGTACCGGCCATGTTAATGTCATCAACATGCTTGGCCGTGAGCAGGTTGCTGCTCGTCTCGAACTCCTCGTCGTAGGAAGTGGGTCGGAGGCCGAAACCTCTAGTGGCTCTCCTGAGATTAAGTGAGAACACCCGTGGGGCGTCCTTAGTGCCTGTACCCGGTTTCAAGCGCTGCAAACAGTGCTTTGTCTCGTCGTAGTTCTCAAATCATGGGAGAGCACGGAGCGCAGTTGCCGATCCAGGCGGCATGGTAAAGCACACCGCACGTTCCTTTTTCACCAGTGGTCTCAGCGAGTTCCTGATAGGTCAATCCTTTCAGGAAAGCCATGTTGATGTCCAGGGGAGCAATGATCCAGTGCTCATTGCACGCTGCCGCGCTAGCAAGTAACCTTTGGCTTGACCTTCTGGCCGTGCCCGAAAATGCTTCTACGTCGGAAGCTGCAAGGTCCATGAAGCCTCGGAGTACCAGACGAAGTCGGATGGTGCGTTCCATTTCACCCTTCTCGTTCTCCACGATTTCCCATGTGTAGACATGCCTCGAAGTCATGATGTTCGACGCTTTGGCTATCTCCTGCATCTTAAAACATGTGTTGTCGAACCATGTCTTGAGTTCAGTG